CGGTCATGTCAACTAGCCTCATGCCTCCGCAGCCTCCTCAATCCTGACGCTCGATTCTATTCGTCCTGTACGAGGTTTTCTCAATATGCGCACACTTGAGGTCGTATGAAAGACAAAAAGTGGATTTTTTTCACAATATCTTTGTTAGTGTATGTGTTTGTGTGTGTGTATATATATAAATTCGTAGTTTGGTTAGTGTTTGAGGTCAGCTGGCCGAATCTCTTGGTTACACACACTTCACATCGAAATGGAGGTGACCATCTGAAAATAAGTGGATCAAGTAGATGCTAAAAGTAGCTGGGTTTCGATAATATTGGCGAGAGTGTCCTTTCGTAAGAAAGTGCATGAAGAAGAGATTCGAAGGTTGATCTCATCACAAGACGGCGGCCGATTCGCGTTGTACTCAAACCGTTAATCTTTTTTCATTACTCTGATTTAGGACTGGCATAACGTGTAAACCGTAACACACATACACACATATACACACACCAACACACATACACACATTCGAGCAAAACTGGCAAGACAAATAATCAAGATGATCAGACAAATCATTCTATGTCTTTCTATGCCCATTAATCTTCTTTCACTTAGTTGAGTCTATCTAAGAGGTTGTTGATGTGACACTTTTACTAGAATGGAATGAGATCCATCTCGGATGATGTCCAGCAGATGAAGGACGAAAGCGATGGAGAGTGTCTCGTGGACCGCGTCAACCGAAACGTTGTAGTCAAGCCAAACGGCTGCAGTACAACGCAAATCAGTCGTCGTATTCTGGTGAGATCCAGCCTCGAATCTCTTATTCCTGCCCTTTCACACGCAATGAAAGTCTCCCCAACAAGAGTAGATCAAACGAACTGTGCATTCCTTTGTTGTTGAGCTCACTTGCATTTCGAGTGAAAGGGTTGCGTGAAGAGATTCGAAACTCGGTTCCACCAGAAGACGACGGCGCATTCCTCTTGACCAGCTGTCGGTTGGCTTTACTGGAACATTCATGCTGACGCTGTTTCCGAGGCAATCTTCTTCGATTCTGGTCAAAAGTTGCTTCTTCGTGTTCTGGTGGAAGCGAGCTTCGAATCTCTTCACCCAACACTTCTTACTGGAAATGGAAGTAAGCTCAACAATTATGCAACAAGAGATTCCTCGAAACCCAACTGTTATTTGCATATTCCTTTGTTGAATCGTAAACGAGACCTCGTGGCCAGAGAGGCTCTGCCCCGGTACGTCTGGGCCAGTTTTTCTCTCCCGCATCCTCTGCCCGGGCGCCATTGGACACGAGTTAATGTGAAAGGAATGGCTCTCCACCAGCCTACAGTTGCAATTGCCCAACAAATAGGGATCCTTCAGCGTGTCTGATTGTATCCGTGGCAGTGCTCTTCTCACGAGGCTGCCAGTCAACTATTCTTCGAGTAGATGAGATTCAAGAATGGTGGAGATGGCAACTAGCAAGTCTCACAAATGAACGTTTCGTTCAGCCGAAGATGCCTCCTCAAATAAACATTTGCAGTCGGTCAATTTTGGGTTATAAATAAAATGTCAATTGTGATCGAGAGATGAGACATATTTATTAATTCCAGCAAAATCCACAAGCTTAAAGATAAATAAATTAATAAATAGCTTTTCGAAACTGCCAGTAAATCAGTAATACGAGACGTATTCACCTTATTTAGTTTAAGCTGATGAGAAAAAAGTACTTGAAGTGTCCCTCAATAATATCAGTAGAGCTGACGTTTCCATTGAAATTCACGAAGAGTGATCTTATCCCAGCTGGAATGGATTGTAGTTTCGACCTAACCTAGGCCTTAGCAACACCCCCAGCGGGACTCGAACCAGCACATTCCATTGTGTAATCTCGACACGTTGTTCACTACACCACATTGTGACAACTGCCCTTGGATCACAGCGTAGATGTGAATTCCATTCACATATCACATTCTTTGGTGGGATACTCGATTTATTGGTAGTCTCGAAACCATACTAATAAACGAAAAATGGGTAATTTACTCGATGTTAACAGCAAATATAAGTTTGCTTCATCAAAATTCCCACCAAATAATGTCACATTGAAAACGCCTGGCCTCCCTCAAAATTCCCATCTACCCTGTGACCCAAGGGCACTGGTCACAAGGTGGCGGGGGAGGAAAAAACATCTTTTGGGAAAGCAAGGCTATGCGAAATTCAATGGAAACGTCAGTCCTCCATCACCTTGATTGGAGTACTGTGAATACGTCTCATATTGGTGATCCTGTTTTGCAGGATCCTTTCTTGTGAGAACATGTTGCTGCAATGGCACCGATTTGTCGGGCACCTGCTTAGTGGGTCATTTTGCGACGGGAATGTGCCAGTTCCACGGTTCGAGGTCGGAAAGCATAATGCCAACGCGAGGCAGATCAGGTCAGACATGATGTATGCATCGAGATCGCCGAGAGGACATGGACAAGTTGTGAAAACGAGGTCAAACGACACTTCTCTTGAGCCAACGGATACGTCAACTCCCCACCGACATGGTTCGACTACCTTTAGGAGGGGTTTGTGCCCAGACGGTCAAATGACGTGTAATGAGATGTATTCACCCTATTTCGTGTAAGGTGATGAAGGACTGGTAGTAGAATTTTCCCACA